TTCTCTGTATACGGTGCTATCCTTACCTACCTTTTTGATTGTTTTTTAAACATCATATTTGATTACGCATTGCACGATAGTATTTAAATCACTGGCTTCTCAGTGCATTTGTATCATGCCATTTTTATGGTAAGACGATGTTTTATAGATGTTCATGTGAATCTTTTTAAGTTTGTGGGGCTATTGCTCAACGTTATTGATTAATATTTTTTTCGTATTTGTTACCAAACAGCATGTTTCAGTTTGACAGCAACTGGAGCTTTATTTGTTTATCTTATCTTGAGGTAAGCATGATTTCCCCTTTTGCCCCCCTCCCCCGGATGGCTCAGTGATAAGTCTGAGATATTGTAACACTAAAATTTGGGTTTCGATACTAGCGATGGGCACAGCCCAGATATTCTATTGCGTAACTTTGTGCTTAATAAACAAAAAAAAAAAAAACATGATTCCTTTTAGAATAAATACATTGTTAGGAAACATAGCTGTAAGATTGGTGGTGTTCTGTAACATGTTACTTACAACAAATCGAAGAAGGCAATTACATCGTGTTCAATACTAGGCTTCCTGGGTTGAAGTATGCTAACACTTCAATTAAACGCTATTTTTTAGTTGTTAGGTAAATTGCAAGTGATGTATAGTGCCAAAACTGGCAACGCGTATTGTTATTTTTTATGTTAACTAGTATGGTAAAACGTCACAATAAGCGTAATGGTTAGATGGCCCGGAGTGTGAATCCGACGGTTCATGGTTAATGTTCCCCCTGCGCAAAAAACGTGTTCCGCACATTGGGGCTGCAGGGGCTATATAAGAGAGTAACTATCAAATTTTACTGGTCGGTCAGAAGAAAATTAAGTGATGGTTGCGCTGTTGATTATAGTACCTTCCCTGAAGTCTACCTATCAGTTCAAAATAACGGAAGTTTATGCGCAGATAGTCCTTGTGTAGTTTTACGCAAAAATTCTAGAACAAACAAAACTAATATTGTTTTAAAATTCTTTATATTTACCCGCGTCACTTTTCACGTTTAGTTCATTGCTTAAAGCTGAATCAAGTATGCAAATAATTAATAACTTCTATAAAACACAGACTTTCAGTGTTTAACATTTCAGCTATATTCTGTAATGGTCATGTTTAAATTGTTTCAAACATTCGTGTTTCTCACAGTACAAAGTACACCAGTGAACTGCAAATTGATGTAAGTGTATATAAACCTTCAACTAGCATCAAAAATCATTTTTAAGCTATTGGTAAAAAGTAAAACATATGAACTACCTAGAAGTTCAAAAGTATAACTAAGAAAATAATTTATTCATTGTTACGTTCAATTTTTTAACGTACTATTTTTTCTGTTCATTTTGAATTTGTCTTCGTACTAATATTTATTTAATGATATGTATTTTTATATAGAAATCTAAACAACACACACAATATTTTTTTTTCTTTGTCAGTAGATTGTGGAACAATTTTAATAAAGCTCAGTATTTTTGTACTCTTACGTCAACTCTGACACTGCGCATGCTCTAGTAAACATGTCGGAAATTACTGTTTAATACCAGAATGGTTGATATATAAATATAAAAATATCGATATTTTTAGTAAGCATCCAATTTAGGCTTAAGGCTGAAATACTGGGCTTTGAAGTTAAAAATTATAAACCTTACGTCACATTAGTTATTAAGTATATATTAGTAAATATATATATATATATATATGCACATTTTGATTCTACATTGAACTTTGGCTTATCACATGTTTGCATTCACGTTAGTATTTCATCTACACTGTTGTTTACATTTTCAAGTCCTCTACACCAGATTTGAGTAAATGCAGTGGAATTAAATATTTAGGGTATTTCTTGTAGGTGATAATTTTATAGAGCAACGCTTTATTTAGAAAAATTTTCGTAAATATAGATTACGTCTTATCACAATAATAGTGATACACTTGATATCGTGTTTGTAACTTACTGCTTCTAAGATACGTGTGACACTGTTTCTGTGTTAGTACTATAAGGACCTTCTGGTCAATTTCTGTTTTGTAAGTTCATTATGAGTCAGTTAACTTTCATTATAATAGCGCCTCCCAGTGGTTTAACGATAAGTCTGAAGGCTTACAAAGCCAAACACCGGGTTTTTAAAATCGTGGTGGGCAAAACACAGATAGCCCAATGTGTTATGTTTGATAACAAAACAAACAAACATTACGAAGTTATGGATCAAGAGAGGAAAGGCGAAATACGACCCATTTCGAGCTGTTTGTTTCAAAATTCTGTTAACATTTGTTAGCCAAACTAATGCTTGTTATTTCGTTGTTGATTCCTTTTTTTAAAACAAATATTAAATACGCTTCTTCATAGATGGCACCACCATAAGCATTACTTTAACGGTGGTGGAATGGCAGTTTTTATTATTATTTTTTTCATGACACCAAATCTGGTTCTTCAATAGCAATATTATTAACGTGGTTGTTGTTGTCCTTTTGTAGATTTTCCCCTTTCGAACAACCTGTGTAAGTTTTCGTGTGTTATATTCTGCATTATTTCTCACTGTTAACGTGTAATGGTCGTTAACTTCAGTAATTCATAATAAATATGACCCTTTACGCCATGCCCCGTGGCAACTGGAGTTTTTCTTCCGTTTTTATTAATTATTTCATTTCTGATTACCGAGGATTTTCTACCGAGTGCCATAGTTTGGCGATTATTATTCCCATACTGCCTCGGAGCATACTGTATATAAATTTAAAAAGATGACCATGGGGTATAACGATGCCACGGGGCATGACGTTAGCGTCTGTAATCTAATATCTCCATTAAGAGACACGAAATGTATTTACTTGATTTGCAAAATATTTTATAAATTTTCTTGATGTTGTAGTACTTTCAGGTAAACAGCTTTCCTCACAATTGTCACAATTGTGTAACGGAAGGATCTTAATTTGATTAAACAACCGAGTTTTAATTTGTGGGAAATAAATATAATATACACATGATGTAATGTGTAGAGTAGTCATTTTTATAATATTTCAAGTCGTTTTTTAATGCTTGTAAATAAAACAAAACATTTGGTACTGACTCAACAGTTTAATTGTAAAAAGTTTGTTACTTTGTTTGAAGTTAAACACAAAGCTACACCGTGGGCTATCTGTGCTCTGCCCAACTCTGGTAACGAATCCCGGTTTCTAGCTTTAGAAATCAGCAGAAATACCATTGTGCCACTGGGGGGGGGGGGGTTGTAAAAAGATCCTTCAGAAATTTTAGGACGACAAGTTGATGTGGAACACATAAACTTAAGAACCACTTAGTGATATTTTGGACATAATTTTAAAGCCATCTATATAAGAAGCAGAGAGTTACAAAGATGATAGAACTTTTGTTGAAAAATTACCGAAACAAACAGAACCTCATCACAGTTTAACGACTATGGATGTAGTATTACCGTATACTGCTATCGATCAGGATAAAAGCACAAAATTTTTAAATAACGTAAAAAAAGTATATAATTCACATTTGAGATAAGTGATAAAACTTTACCCTTTCGGGATGTTTTAGTTAAAGTTAGAGAGAGAATTGATTACAAATATTTATTATAAACCTACCCATTCATATAGATATTTATATTTTTTATCCATCACCTAATACAAGTTAAATATACCAATATGTTTAGCTCAAAAGATTTATACCTTAGTTTCAGAAGATAAAGTTAGAGAAGTAAGACTCAAAGAATTATGAAAAAATCTTCAAAGAGTATTATTATTGAGATAGAGTAATTTAAAGGGACTCAACACCATAAAATTAATTCTAAGGGTGAAAATAAAAATATAAGGACAGAGGAAAAAAACTGTTATTCATCTTTTATGCACGTATGATCAATATATGTATCAGTTTTTATATTAAATGTATTCATAAACAACTGGAGGAGGTGGTAGAAGAAAACCTACATTCACATTCAAGTTATAGACAAAGATGACTTGAAGTAGGCTTCAGTGGCACAAATTGTGTAATTTCGCGCCTGTCAACTCTAGTTAATGGATTTATGCTAACACTGGAGTTCGTTTTCCGATTAATAAATCTACAACTTGTACATGAACGCATTATGTTTTTATTATATTGGCTAGCTAAATACTTGAATTTTACTAAACAGTTGGCCGATGAAATAGACTTAACATTCAATTCGCCAATCACGATCATTTTAACAATCTTTATACTTACAAAAGTCAATTTAGAGAAAGAAAACCACTGCAGCTGAGGTAAAATGTGGCAGAGGTTGTCAGTTATTACTTTGAATTGTGACGTACGTAGAATAATAAAACCAGCTGCTGCTGGGCTGAATGATCAAACCCGAAGGGGCTGTTACTAATAATAACATATATTTCTCCACTGTATTTGATGTACAGATAATAACAGTTGTGTATAGGCACGTTATTTTATTGGAAAAAGTAAAAAAAAAATCAATACAGAAGAATTGATATCAATGTAAGGTCAAGCTAAAGCAACTTATTTGTAGTGTCGATAGTTGTTAGACATAAATACACCATTTAGAGTAATAAAGATAAATGTGAATCCCGATCTATTATTAGATTGTGGAATTTCCCGGAACCTCCATAACTCACTGGCGTGTGGTAAATCGAATAACAGATTGGTTTTCACGTTTATCTTTAGTATTTTAAACAGCTTTTTGGCCGAATATTTCACAGGAATAAATTAGTAGCTTCAGTGCTACATATTCTTGAAAACTATATAGAGAGAGATTGAGAGCTTCATTGTAGAAAGTAAACCCTATGATTCACAGTCTTGCACTTTAAAAATGGGCCATGCCTGGCCTAGGTTACTACGCTGTTGAATATTTTTGTTGCATTTGTTTTAACTGTGAGGTGTGGCATGGATCCAAGTTTTATTAAATATTATTTTATGTAGTTTAGATACAATTATCAAAACGCAGTTAATAAAAGTAATCTGAAAGTTCATGTGATTGTTAGAATTCTGTTGTGTTTATTTTCAGGCTGTGGTGAATAGCACAGTGGCCTGTAACATGACTTTCACGAAGACGTCCCAGAAGTTTGGCCAGTGGTCTGATGCTAAAACTGGAACAGTTTACGGCTTGGGTTTTTCTTCTGAAGCCGACTTAAACAAGGTAATAGATTTTCCTCTGTGTAAAGCCCCTTCTTCCGATCTGTTTTTTTTTATCAATCCGTTTTTCTGTCTGATATTTTTTTGAATATTTCTTAAAAATTAAAACATGCTGTATTAATCTTAAGTGCTAACAAGTATAAACCCATTACGAAATGTCTGTTAGCTAAATAGCAGTTAATTTAAATGTATCATTTAAAAATACAATTATTTCTTGAGAATTTGAGAGAGAAAACTAAAAAGTTGTAGAGAACTTTATACATAAAAAGAAGGAACGGTATATCCAAGTTATGGAAACTTAACATTTCCTCGGATTTCCGTACAGTATACTAAAACAAATTGCTTATTTTTCTAAAAACATTGAAAATGCGTGTGTTGTAATGTTCCAACACGTCCTTTAGGTTCTTATGTAAAACTCATGCTCACAATACGCAAAGTATTTTATAAGGTCGATTTTCATATGCTAATGCAGTGGCGTGTGAACCGTAAATGCTGAGAGTCGCCACTGGCACCATGTTTGGCGTAAATATATTTGGTTCATGGCGAATTCCGGATCATTCAACAGCGTGTGTTAAATGTCACCAGTGTAGACTTATGATTGGATGATTTTTTGTAACAACCCTTTCTAAAGAAAGATATAGCAAGATTGTTAAAAGATTATTCAAAGAAGTAGAACCAAAGGATACATCATTTCGAAGAAAGGATCCTACATCGATTTTCATAGAAAGAAAAATAACTTTCGATACGGAGCTTTTAGGACAGCAGTGAGCTCCTAAACTACACACCAAGTCAGACCTGAGCAGCAACTTATCAACCAAATGAAGGTTTTGGTTAAAGAACTGAACTGTATAGCTGTTTTAGTAGACACTAGTTTACAAGCTTTTAGGCACATCTCGAAATCAACGCTATTTTCGTGAGAAAAATGTCCCAAACAATTCCATTTAGTCACATACATTTTATATTTCTCGATGCAGCTTTAAAGAACGTATTTTTATGCTTTTTAATCTTCTTTAACGTAATTTTCAATTAATTGTATAAGTACAATGAATAAGTCTGTGAAAATGTGGTCAAGTTTTATGGTTTTATTGCTGCAATCCATGATGAAGGAAGTAGTTTTAATGGAAAAGAATGGTTTTTCTTATAAAGTGCGATTAAACCTCGGTATTTACACAAGTAATGTTCTCATTCTTTGTAATTCAATGTTTAGTGTTTTGCAAAAATTTCTATATTTCATTGGAAAACAACTGATGTAAAATATTGGCCTTTGCCATCGTTTCATCTATCTATATATATAAAAGCACAAACATCTGTCTGTATGTTTTTCTGTCCGTCACCTAACTACTGTTACGTCGCTGGGCCAACCTCAACCAAACTTTGTGGGATGATAGTTTGGAACAAGATGCATGTTAATGAGGGTTTACAACCCTTCCACCCCCCATTATTGCTGTTATTGAGCATTTATTATCTTTGACGTAAGTTAACTCATTTATATATGGCGCCACGTTCTCACACCAAAAATAGATTAAATTTTCTATAGCATAACATGCACACACTGTGGAGAGACGGCACACAAACGTCTTATATATCTCAGAGAGTGCATTAGCACTCTCAATGGATGAATGTAATGAAAAAAGATGGCCGCCACTGTTGCAATAATACATAAATAAACTCGGCTGAAGTTTCTACTCCAACAGCCACCATAAGGCTGATATGAAGAGCCGTTTTTCGAGTTTTACCCACTTCCACCAGTGACATTTCAACTTCGGCCCATAAGACACTTCTGTGGCCAATGACTGTCAATTAATTAATCACGTGAAACACTGTGGAAGGACATATATATATTAACCTAAATTACTACCACGATTGGATGAATGGAACTGATAACAGAAAGCACCCTTACCGCCATCACTTTGACGCTACCTCTTCCTACAAAGTCACGTGACTATGGCACAGTGTATACCATGTTTTAAGTATATACATACTGTGTTCTAAAAGCTTATACAAAATTTTTGGTGAGATAATAATGAATACTGTAATAGTATGCTATAAATAAATTATGTGAAAGCTAGGATTTTTGTTTTATTTGCCATAGCATCCACCTCTACATTTTATTAAGTTCATAACCCGGATAAGAAGGGTACCTCAGCTTGTTCGTTCTGATACACGTAGTTTGAAGTTGCTGATGTTTTGTCCATGTTATTTTAATAATGCTATTGTTAATAATAATGTAAAATATGATCTTGAAATTAAAGTTGATAGAGATAGCACTTACCTATTTTCAGTTGATTTATAAAATGTTCGCACTGTTCCGTAAAATAACTATTATTTTGGGTGGTGCTGATTTGCTAGAAACAGTATTTAAATAATTAGCTGGTTATTAAAAATAATATGAATCTTATAAATCCATCCATGGTCGACATTTTAAAAAAGCATTGAGAGACCCAAGTAATTGTTATATTATCTTACTTTCTTCTTATTGTTTCTCACGCCAATATTTTAAGGATCACGGAAAAATAGCTATGCTAGACTGGCCAATCACGTCAGAGTCCACATTCCCCCTAAAACAATATAGACTTTTCTACATCTGTCTGGCAAACAATTTATGGTACTACTTACGATTTTTGTTCGACAATTAACAATCGGGACACAATAGAACTTACTGTGTTTTCCTTCCTGCAATATACTGTAGCAACTGCACATTATTTATTAGAGCTTGAAAATAGCTGCGAACTGTGATTGGTATCTGTGAAGGGCGGGGAACGTTTTATACTCCATACAAGAAAACTCACTGCTATGATAATGTTAATCACCCTGAACTTTTGTCGTTGTTTTCTTTCGTAATTATTACGCTACTTCTTGTCCAATCCCCTGCTGTTAGGCCTAAGGCTGGGCGAGTTTTATTGAATCATGTCTGTTTCTGTATCTATGGCTGCATCATAAGTTATTTCAAAGGTCGTTCATAAAGGCCTACAGGACTAGTAACACCTTGGGCATAATAAAGTTCCATGACTGAAAATTGCTTTTTCTATGACTATGTTAAATACAACATAATTTACGTTTTGTGTTACTCAACAGATTTGCAAAATATATTTTCATTCCCTCTCCTTAACATATATACACGTGAACCAATTTTATTCCTCTTATTCTACGTAATAAGTTAATATTGTTGGTATCTACTTGTTTTTTTAATTTCTGGTATAAATACTTTCCGAGAAACTTCAGCGATATAAGTCCTTTCTTGATTAACCCAGTTTATTCTTCCTCGATACAAACGTTTAATACACAGTCAGTACGTCGCTCGTCACTGTAAACTTAACAACTTTTATAACACACACTATAAATCACAGTGATTCACACACTTTACTTACGGGGCATACTATTTGTGTGACTCAATCATCTATCTGCCGCTGGCTTTCTTTGCCAGGCTTATCTATACTAAAAAAGAGGGCGTCTAGATCACACTCGAGCTG